ATTACCAGGAGACAGGGAGTTCTAGTCCCGCCTTAGGCATGAAAGCCAGCTGGGTGACTGGGCCAATTACCAGGAGACAGGGAGTTCTAGTCCCGCCTTAGGCATGAAAGCCGGCTGGGTGACTTTGGGCCAATCACCAGGAGACGGTGAGTTCTAGTCCCACCTTAGTGATGAAAGTCAGCTGGGTGACTTTGGGCCAATCACCAGGAGACGGTGAGTTCTAGTCCCGCCTTAGTGATGAAAGTCAGCTGGGTGACTTTGGGCCAATCACCAGGAGACGGTGAGTTCTAGTCCCGCCTTAGTGATGAAAGTCAGCTGGGTGACTTTGGGCCAATCACCAGGAGACGGTGAGTTCTAGTCCCGCCTTAGTGATGAAAGTCAGCTGGGTGACTTTGGGCCAATCACCAGGAGATGGTGAGTTCTAGTCCCGCCTTAGTGATGAAAGTCAGCTGGGTGACTTTGGGCCAATCACCAGGAGATGGTGAGTTCTAGTCCTGCCTTAGCCATGAAAGCTGTTGGGTGACTTTCAGCCAATCACCAGGAGACTGTGAGTTCTAGTTCCACCTTATCCATGAAAGTCAGCTGGGTGACTTTGAGCCAATCACCAGGAGACAGTGAGTTCTAGTCCTGCCTTAGACATGAAAGTCAGCTGGGTGACTTTGGGCCAATCACCAGGAGACGGTGAGTTCTAGTCCTGCCTTAGACATGAAAGTCAGCTGGGTGACTTTGGGCCAATCACCAGGAGATGGTGAGTTCCAGTCCCACCTTAGCCATGAAAGCTGGTTGGGTGACTTTGAGCCAATCACCAGGAGGTGGTGAGTTCTAGTCCTGCCTTAGCCATGAAAGTCAGCTGAGTGACTTTGGGCCAATCACCCGAGACAGTAAGTTCTAATCCCGCCTTAGGCATGAAAGCCAGCTGGGTGACTTTATGTCCATCCCTCTCTCTCATCCCAGCCTGCCTCACAGCATTGTTGCTGTGGGAGAAAAGAGGAGGAAGAAGGAATATTAGATATGTTTGCCACCTTGAGTTGTTCATAAAAATGAAGGCAGGATAAAATAAATCAGACGAAATGAATCCACATAATGGCGGCAGACAAGATGGAGGCAGAACTGGCTCTCGGATGTGGGAATGGTTTGGGAATGTTGAAGGCGCCAAGATGGCAGATCGCTTCACTAGAGGCTCTTCTGCCGGAATTTGTTCCAACTTGTGTCAGTCAATCTCTGCTTGAATACATGCTGAGTGCCATTATAGTCTTTAATTTATTATTGTCTTTTGGTTGAGTCAAACTACTTAATGAGCCAAGAATGCTTGCAGAAAAGTAAGCATGCCTCTCTCTCCCTCCCTCCCTCCCTCTCTCTCTCTCTCTTTTAATTGGATGAAGAATTTTACCACCTCCTTCCATTCCCTCCTTTCTATTGATCTATGAAGACCTGCGAAGACCTTTCATCTCAAAGGGGAGCCGAAAATTTCATATATATGTAAATAAAATAAATGTGTACATTTTCCAAAGGACCCGAAGGAACAGACAAGGAACAAAGGATGAACACTAACAAGGAGAGATTCAACCTAGAAATAAGGAGGAATTTTCTGAAAGTGAGAACAATCAACCCATGGAACAAAAGTTGCCTTCAGAAGTTGTGGGAGCTTCATCCCTGGAGGCTTTCAAGGGGAGATTGGACTGTCATTTGTCATGGATGGGGTAGGGTCTCCTGCTTGGGCAGGGGGTTGGACTAGATGACCTACAAGGTCCCTTCCAACTCTGTTAACCTGTTAAAAAAGAATCTGTTAAACCAGTCATGAAGAAGATGAGGCTTTTTGGGCTAGACTTAAAGGTGAGATGAAGGTTTAATACGTTATTGATTCCAGTGCTTTTTTTTACTTTGGCCAAAAATCAGCATTAAAAAAAAGACGCCGTTCGTCCATGCCAACCTGGATCCGGTTCACATCCAGCTGCGGGGACTCCAACTCCCAGAATTCCTAGCAGCAGTTCACCTGGCTGTGGAATTCTGGGAGCTGATGGGTGAGAAGACCCAGGTGAGGAAAAAAAATTGGCAGGGAAAACCACCCGTTTTGCAAAGGGAAAAAGAAACCTATTTTGCAGGACAACATTTCTCCACAGCTTCGATGTATACGCAGGTTGTTTTTGCACAACCTGCTTAGACAAGCCAATGAAAGACTCCGCTGCTCTCTGTGTGTATGTGTGTGTGTGCGCGCGTGTGTGGGCAGGTGCAGGGGGCGGCCTGCTACTGGTTCGCACCGGTTCGAGTGAACCGGCTGTTAATTTTACCTCAGGTTTGCCAAACCGTTAGTTCCCATGACTGGCTGGCCCTGCCCTGCCCCCCCCGCCCCCCTCCCCTCCCGGGAGTCCCCATGTGGCCCGTTTTGGATCCCAGGTAAGTGCAGGGCGTGCGCGGAGGCTCAGGGAGGGTGAAAAACGGGGCTCCTAGAAGTTCGGGAAGGCCGGAAATGGGCCTGTTTCCAGCTTCCAGAGGGTCTCCAGAACCTGTGGAGGCCATTTTCTCCCTCCCAGAGTCTATTCTATTCTATACTCTATTCTATACTCTATTCTATACTCTATTCT